ACAGGGGCCACCAGAATCAACACAAAGTTCTTTTGTAGGGACTTTAAGTAGTTTCTCTCTCCCACGTTCCTCTGTGCGTCATTTAATTTTTCAAGGTCTCAATAAGAAGTAAGAAGACATTGGGTTACTTGGGAGCAGCAGAATAATGTTGGCATTTAGAATAGTGCTTCTGTTCACCTTAAATAGTAAATTCTATATTCAGTTTACTATTAGCTCGGTTTTTGGTCTCCACCGACCCCTGAGAACAATATCTGGCTCTTTTAGAGCTTTTTGCTGAAAACAGCTGCTTGCTGCTGCTAATAACAAGGCTGGCGGGCTGGAAAACTAAAAAAACAATCTAAAAGAGGGTAAAAAAAAGTGAGTGTGCACTTTATGTGACATATTTTGAAATATCTAATCGATAAATCATTGTTCATGATTAACAACAGGTATCATTCAGAGAATGTTTTTTTAGAATACTATTTGTCAGCTGTTGCTTTCTTGTAAGTACATGTGATGGGATGCTACACAGCTCATCTTCACAATAGTCAGGGGTGACAGCGACAGCACTGATTTGGGTTGCAATCACTTTCCATGCGGCATAATTGTTAATGAGTCTTACAGTAATTTCCTCTGGAGATATTCAAAATTCCACACTAAAATCAGCTTTTCAAAACATTAGATTGTTTTTACACAACAATATAAAACTAAAGAAATGCAAGATTATTTGTGTCTGATTGACCATTCCTGCTCAGAGCGTGCTGTAATTAGTCATGTGATCACTTGAAAACTGATATTAAGGGTTACTCTTGCGCTTTGCTATAAGTAGGAGTAAACCATTTATGTTGTATTCTGCACTTTTACCAAAGAGATTTTTACATTTAGGTTGTCTCAGCATTTTCACTATAAGTGTCATTCTTAGATGGTAATAAGACTTGGTCTTATCATTCAATGTCCAGTTCTTCTGTATTCATCTGTCTTGCATTAATTTTGTCCCATTCTGCTCACTCCTCAGATCATTTTACCTCTCCCTCTATATTCAAATGCTGTTTCAGTGTTGCCTCCCTCCTTTTCTGAGCCCCTGTTCTCTTTGTCTTCATCTCACTCCATCAAGTTTTTCTGCTGTTCCTACCTCATTCTTCTTGTCCTCTATAGGAATGCCATACGAAGCATACCACCCCAGCCTGTTGTCCACATACTAGAAATGATGCCACAATCAGTCACTGGTTAGAAATAACATTTTATTTTAAAACACTGTGTGGTTTGAGGTCAGGGTGAAGAAGGAATGCTACAAGAAGTAACAGATTACAGCTGTCTAATAAAAATCTCCAGATGTGGTCATTTTCATATTTTTACTCATGTGGAAGCATTACTTGATAGGCTGAGACATTTTTTTTATCCTGGGTTTACGATACCCCTTTCAGACCCTATGGAGTTATTACATGGCCATGTAGCCCAAAACCGAGCTTTCAGCTCTGAAATAGTACGATTTGGGGTTTTGGTGGAACACCACATGTATAATAATTCAACTAAAGTCATATACAAGTACAAAACATGTCACTCCACTTAAATACTATACTCTCAATGTCATCTTGGCTTATGTTTTATTAAAATACATTTTAAAGCTGCACAATGCAAAGTCCCATATTAGAGGTGAAAGGTGAACAATCTAAACTTCAGATTATGAAAAGGATGTCAGTTATGTTACAGTTTTTCTCAATTGTTTACACAAAAATACTGGTACTTGAGACACAATGACCACAACATGTAATTCATGCACCAACCCCCTGAACCAAATCTGCTACAAACACAATTCCTGCTTTACACT